CTGGGATGCTGGTAGGTTGAAGGTATTTGAGCTCACTGATCCAGGATCAAGCCTACACTACCGGAGTTTATACTGACCAAGGTCGCTGAAAATGTTGTGTCGGACAACACAGCACCACAACACTTTGGAGAGCATAAACAATCACCACTCGTGCAGGTTAGTAACATGCAGGGCTATTTATTACGCTTGAAACATTACATACGGCTGAAATCCCACTCCCCTTCACATTCCCGGTCTCCTCTATGTAACTGTCACACAGCAATGATCAGAAACCAGGGGTATACTGGGGGTGGGTGGGGATGGCGCAGAGGCAAAGGAGGAGAGTGCATTAATGGGTCCACTGGACTTAAGCCCAGAAGTTCTGGGTTCAAATCCTGTTAGATCCATTGACCCCTTTTCCCTTGAGGTTGACAAAGTGAGTACCTCGTTCAAACATTCAAAAATATGCTCGGAGTAGGTCTGCAGGGTCTCCCTGTGGTTAAACTCGGTCCAAGGTGACATGCCTGGCAGGTTCGCAGTTATCAAAGGCACTGTTGATGGTTGGCCAGCCTGTTTGGCTCAGCAAAGAGATTTAGCAGTGTGGATATATGTTAGAGCTCGCAAGTTAAAATCTTAACTGGTCAGGGAGTGCTAGCAAGATAAATACTGTTAAACATACCAGTGCTTTGCAACATACCGCACTGTTACCAACAGTTGAAAACACATATTTTTAAAAAAGTAATAGAATGAAATGCAACTTCTAATTATTAACTGGCAATTGACATCAAGACTGTTATATCAAAGACTGCTTCAGAGATTAAAATAGACACTAAAGTGAGGGGAGGGGAGTATCCCACAGCACAATCTTGTCAAGATCTAGCTGTGTACATCAAGTGTTCTCAATACTGTGATGAGGTGCTCGACTCCCACGCAGAACACTGTACAATTGAAGGCCACTGTTAACCCATCACTCAAACTGACCAGGGACAGGTATTGTAATGGACACAACTCTATTTCCCTCTATTGAAGCACTCCCACCAGCCTGCAAATGGCGCAGCTTTGTAAACTTCTTTGCCCAGAAAATACTGTAAATCCACAGAATATCTTACCCTTAGCCCAGATTTCTAAATAAATATTCCATCAGGACAAAAAAATCACATAGAAAAATCCACAGCCTGCAATAACTTTCATGACAATAAAAACAATGATTTGCATTTACATAGAGCCCTACATGTGAGTAGCATCTTGGAGCGATTAACAGCAGTGTGGTTTGACGCTGAGCTGGAAAGAGAGGGATGATGACTGAAGGCACAGTCGAAGAGGAAAGTCTTCAGGTGCGATTTAAAGGCGGGCAAAGACAGGGCAAGACGGACGGATTGAGGTAGCAAGTTCCAAAAATTTCAGGGCATAGTGGCTGAAAGCTCGGCCGCCAATGATGGAAGGGACGGGGGACATGCAGAAGATATGAGTCAGCTGAGTGAAAGGGTTTGTAGCAGTGTGGGGTGTGAGCAGAAGTAGGCTGTGAGACTAATGGAGAATGGCGGTTGGGTGGGGAAAGAAGCAGTACCAACTGTTTGTAAATAAGGCAGTGCCAACCATTACTTTAAGGCAGTAAAGAATCTGAGACGACTGGCTGGCCAGAGTTATTTGTTTTGCAGTGGCAGGTTTCTGAGTTGGAAAACTAGGATGAATCAGATAAAATACTGCAGGTGGTCAGGGGGCTGAGAATCATACTAGTCTCATTGTCAGCAGAAAGTGCAAAAAAACCCCAAAGAAATTAAGGATTTGGGAAATTGGATATTTATATTGTACACTGAAAAAGGCCCTTTTTAAAAAACAAAAACACGTTAAACACTGTCCCCTGTTCTATTTAGCACAGATCATGTTTAGATGTTCATTACAAGCAAATACTGAGCTCTCGCCTCGTAATCTCATAACCACTGTTCCCACGTTTCTCAACTTGCTCAACAAAAAGAACTGATTGCCCTTATATAGCGCCTTTCGCGTAGCGAGAATGTCCCATCGCACTCTACAATCAACTTACATTGGGACTGAGCTAAGGGGGGTGGGGGGGCCTTGTTAAAGAGAGAGATTTTCAGAGAGGGTTTTGCAAATAGCAATGGAGGGATCAAGCCAGGAGGAATTTCCGAAGGGAGTTTCAGAGGCTGGGGACCATGTGCCTGAATGTTCGCCCAGTGGGGAATCAGGTGGGAGACATGAAGCAGGCCAGAGGCAGTGGATGAGGGGCAGAAACTCAGGAGATGTTCACACTTAGCTTTAGCTTTGGGCTTCAAGGATCTCTCATCTATTACAGCACAAAACCCTCTTGATCATACACTAGGGTTGTGCAAGTGACTAATGGGAGTAATTAAGACCAGTGTAGATTTATTACTTAAATGCGGTGATGCTTTCTTTAGCAATGAATCACCAGTAGCTTCATATCCATCTTATACTAGGGACAGACAGTGAGGAAACAAACATCTGAGTAAACTAAATGTAACTTCTAATTATTAACTCTGAGAACCAGAAAATTAATAGAAAAACAGAACTTCCACATTATTTTAAGGCTGTTCCAGAAATAAAATGTACATTGAAATGTCAGCGCCTTACAGTGGAATAGCTGTCCACTTTAAATGCTCTTAGCAGACATCAGCTTCTGTCAGCGCTTAGTTAAGAGATTTAACATCCCAACCAGTGTGTGGTGAGTTCAAAGGCTGCAGGTACCTGTCACTCAATCTTACTAGCCAGGTGAAAAAAGGCGAGTTGTTTTTTTGGCCAAGCTATTGGATACAGCTCCTGATGTCAATGGAGTGTTCCATGTTAAAAAGGGCAAAAAATGTTACAAGCCCTAGGCACCCCACACCCCTCTATCAGTCTGGTACCAGTTATGGAGTTGTCCACAAAGAAAGAAAGTTCCTGGGAAAGTCCTGGCCAGTAATACATCTATTATGCAGTGTTATGCCCCAGTAATGGCGCATCTGTTAAAATGTAACCAAGAACTTCCCAATCCCAACACTGTCTATACACGACACACACTCACACGCAGCTCCAACATCATCTCTCTATGTTAGGAATGCACAGAATGCATATTGTTTGGGCAGGAATCCATTTACACTGCCTTTCTTCTTACGTCTGCCCAGATCACACAAGAATTATATGCAAGACTTTAACAATGGGATTGGGATAGAACTCAATTTTAAAAAAAACAAAGGGCATTTATCTTAAACATCTCATGTTCCACAAATGCACGTCATATATTCTGGAGAAGCAATGGAATGATTAAAAAGGTACGCTTTATCTAGGACAGCAAAACAAAACTTTGGTGTCCTGCATTAAGCCATCAACTGAATAACTTTGATATCCCCATTGTATTTACGACTGCACTAGCAAACGCACACTATAATCCTGAGAAATGAATGAATCTACCCTGTAGTACCTTCACCGAGTAGGTCAGGAGGGAAACCGCAACCTTCCGAATGGGCAATTTTACATTTGAAAAATTCAATCACAATGCTGGGGGGGTGGGGGGAGGGTGACAAATCTTGTATTGAAGCAACATCAAAGATGAACTCCCAGCGACCAGGGTAACACACTACAGGGTAAATGTGAAGCATTCTGAAAACTCATTTGGGTTTTACGAGGATACGTTAATGCATGAAAAGGTACAGATTGAATTTGAGGACAATCGGGCAATATACATTTGAGATATTTAGTATGTTATGAACACGACGGGACAGATTGTGCACATTTCACATATTCCTAAATGTTGCAACAGGAATGGACAATGCACTTACGTATGTAGAATGCAGCTTGTGTGACTCAAGTAGTTGCGGTCTGGCAACACTGCGTGTAAATGTGGCACTTTGTGTGTGTGTGTGGTTGGGATGGGGGGGGTGCAGCTCACTCTCACTGTCACCAAATCCCAAATGTGCAGCAAAACTCCACAAAGCACAAAGCAGCAGAAAGGGGACAGCAGAGGACGTTGCCTCAGTATCGTCCTTTGTACCATTCAGGGCTTTATGGAAATTTGAAACACCCAAACCTACAACAACAGGAGAACATACAAGGAAGGTAGTTTCTCTCCCGATGTTCTGGGCCAACATGTAAAACTGATCATTCATTCCATGGCTGTTTCTGCTGTGCTCAAATTGGCTGCCGCTTTCACTTACAAAATACAGTCACCACATTTTACAGTGAAGCAATTTGACACATCCTTCTGATATGAAAGGTGCTACATCAAATATAAGGATTATTTATTATTATTATTAATAAGTAAAGCGAGGACAGAGTTTGGACCTTCACAGTTCTAGAATGTAGGAAAAAGTGGGGGAGGAAGTGCTTTCTCTGTGTGCCGATGGCAGAGGCGTATTGCTGTGAACACATCAGCAGCTGCTATTAGTCACTAGGTGATGCTCTCATGTGGCTTACATTACTCAAGAGACTGGAGTTCTGTGCATTTTATATTCTTTCTCTCTCCCCCGCCCCTCCACCCCACCAAGTACATGATTACCATTAACACAGAGAGAACGCTTCTCATAGTATAATCATCAAGTTGGCTGAATCAAACCTTCCCACAAGTTCCTCTGTTGACGTGTATTTTTAGTCAGGAGCAGCAATCAGTGGCGGATGACAAAGACGGAGAATGATCTCTCTGAGGCAACCGCCCTCAGCATGACATGCAACCACTCTTTTCTGGTGCATTAGTTTTGCTTATTAAAGCAAAGAGGATTGGTGCCAGCAGAACCAAATACTTTACCCTTTTTCAGACCACCAGTGTTAGCACCAGTCACTTCCAAGATCAGGGTCAGCAAAGCGTTTTGAGGAGGAAAACTTCCTCTACTCCATCCCCCAATGTGGTGACACATTTCCTATCCCAGGCAACCTGTAGTTTCACCAATTTCCCAATTTATAATCCAGATTACAGCCCATTTTGCAATTTAGACCCTTATCTACAAAAAATAATTATTAACATTTGATATAGCACATTTCCCGGCAGGAGGATACCTCAAAGAGCTTCACAGGATATACTTTAAAGTGTCGTCACTATGTATTTTGCAGGCAAATGAATAACAAATTAAGTTCATAATATCAAGACAGCCAGCAGAAAGGAGACACTTGCATGAAAAGTATGGGCTAGATTGTTAGGCAGGTCTCAGAGGTTAAAGGCAGTGATCTGATGTACAGCCCCACCTAGAAGCTAAGTGTTGGAATATGCCTGTCTGTTTTAATAAAATGGTTTGGTAGCCTGGATCTTTCGCTCAGGTGAAATGTAATTAGTATTAATCACCAATGATCAACTCAATAAGGGGAAGAATTGAACTGAATAAAAACAATGGATCTGGTTCTGAGGTCTCTCCAATGGTCTAGGGATAACTTGTGCATCTTTAACCCTTACAGGAGTTAGCTAGTCTTCAGCTAACCAGCCGGGCCAGCTATTTGAGGTGCTGTTATTATCTCCTGAGCTGGTGGGAGGGAAGAAAGAGATCAGCTCAAGGTTTCTGCTCTTGACCGCTATCCAAAGATCCTTTGATAGAAGGCGGTATTTTGTGTCTCTATGCACAAAAGGACCCTACTTAACTATGATGCCCAAACCACAGTGAAATTGATGCTCACTGTCCTGACTCACAGAATGAGCTGATGAGCTTATTTTTCTCTCTGTCAATATTCCCTTGACTCGTCTGCCGAAACCTGACTGAGGTACCAGAAGGCAATGAGCACCCATAAAACCCAACAGAAGGTAAATGGGGTCAAATAATGTTTTCAGTAGACGAGACAAGGAGAATATTGACAGAGAAAGAAATTAAAGAAATCCAGCTTGTGGAACGGGATGCCTCGTAACCAGTTGGTACCAGATGGAAATGCCCCATCACGAAAGGTAACGGGTCAAGCAGGTAACGTGTGGGATGTAAAGTTCATTATTCTGGTGTTTGGCTTGATTTACTATTGGGAGCAGAGAGAATCCCTGAGGAATCTTTCTCTAGGAAATGGATCAGGTTGGGTAGGGGTGGTGACCAAAGGGAGGGATTCACATGTTTTGGGCCAGCAATGTATGGGAGGGAACTGGAGTGGCCCTTTTTTTTGCTCCATGTTGCATTAGAGCAGCAGGGACATCCTGTATGTGGTCACAGGAGAGCCTCATTGGTTTCCAGAGATCAGTCCTCCCTGCTCTACAGAGAGTACAGCCTCTGCCCACAACACCACAAGGTTAGAGCAATTTCACTGGAAACCTCTCTACCAATAGAGGCGAGCTACAAGTGTCATGGTTTTCATTTGGTTTCGAGTAGTGCACAATTTTTATTTCCACTTTTTTTTGTTGACAAGATGTAGGAATTAGAAAAATAAAGTATGGGATGGAAAATGTACACCTTTTCCCTTTACAAAACTGTAAAATAAAAATGTGGGTTTTTTTTGTTGACATTCAAGATGGTTAAAGGCTCACTGTTGTCTTTAGCAGTGTGTCACAGTAGAACATTTCTAAGATTCTCCCAGGAAAAGGAAACAACACATCACTCAACCAGTACATTTGAAAGAGCTATACACACACTTTAACTTTGGCCTAACTTACTTGTTTGAGCTAACATTAAATCAGAAACAATGGTTAATCATATGACAACTAAATTTTTTTTACAAAAAGTTTACAAATCAACTTTTTTTTGTTGAACATAAAATTAAAAGTAAAAAACTCAGGTTACTGAAATACCTCACTAAATACACGCTGAGGACTTGCATCCCAGCTCTCATAAGACTCAATTCCAAAAGTGGTTGCCTCAGCAACATAGAGAGATCAGGTCAATAAAATAAATTAACAGTTTATTAAGGCAAGATCTTAAGACATTAAATTGTTGATTTTTTAACTCAGGAGTTTAACAACATTTGGGTGGGTGCTTTGGGGGTGGGGTAGGATGGGGAGGGAACTTTCAAGGGCAATGCCCCTTTGCGGTTGAACAATCTTTTGCTGCAGGTGAAGACTTGAGCAAATTTAACACTAGAGTAAGCAACGATTAGAGAGGTGCAGCAGAAGCAGTGTGCACTAAAATAAAACAAGCCAGCAGTTCTGCTTGTCCGGAATCAAATTAAAATTCTAGGTGTCACCCATGCATCTGAAAGGCTTATGGGCAGGGGCGGGGGGGGGGGTGAGAAAGACCTTTAGACGCACAAAATTTATTGGTTTAATTTATATGCGCCCATGTGGGGATTTCTTTACTTCAAAAAAATATGTACTTTTGAACTACACCTGTTGTTTTATCCCTCTGGGAATCTGCAAAAAAAAACTGGTCATGTACATCAACCTTACAAGTTTCCCAAGGACTCTTCTCCTCACTCCCTCTTCTCTCCCTTCCATCTTCCAGGTTGCCCGGTTTCAACCCGGTAGGAAAGTCTTGCGCAATCAGCTTGTTCTCAGAAGAGGAGAAAAATACACGCTACGTGTGATCTCCCTTTTTTTTCTTCATTTTGTCATGTAATCCATAGTTACTGTGTTGAGTACTCTTGCTTTTTATATATGTGTAAAAAACGAGCGGTTTCCAATGGCGACTGTGGTGGAGAAGTGCAATTAAGAGGCAGCAAAAGGAGGTACATATATATATGTATATATATATAGGTTTTTATATATATATATTCTGTTCGGTCTTTCCTAGCCACGGGGTTTTCAACAGTTTGAGCTGTAATCGTCCTTTTCGAGTTTTATTGTCAGAGCTGGTTCGACTCCGGTGACGTAGCCGTTAGGAAAGTGGACGTTTTTGAAATTAGCCGAGTGAACGCTCTTCTTGGCTGCGTAGCGGTAGTGCTGGCGGTAAAGAACCATGCCCAGAGAGATGGAGAGCAGCACTACCAGAGCGCCTCCTCCCGCCATTATGTAATACCAGTAGGTGGGGATGGGCTGCACTGACACAGACTCCACTGTGGGTTCGCTCCCTGCAGGGCGTGACCCTGGTGGAGAGAGACAAAATAGTGCTTTGGGAAGCCGTGGCAAGCGGAGAATGGGACCATCGCATTCATTCACAAGAGCATGCTCAGCGGGCACAGTGCATCATGGAAATGCGCTTTGACCATCGGCCGGGTCGGGCCACTGTCCTCACACGGGCGGTGCGTGGAGCCTCCTGGAGACCAGGCAGAGAGGAGAAGCCCAGGACCCCAGTCCTTAACTCCGGGGAACTGGCACCACACGAGACTCCTTGTGGCCGAAGGAGAAATCGGGCTTGCCCACAGGCAGCGAGTGCACTCAAAGACAGGTAACAGATTCAGGCAGGAGGAGAGTTCGCACCTTTCCCAATCCCCCACCTAAATGCCTTTGGTACATTTACCTCTGCATCAACCAACCCTTTTTTTTAAGTTGACGAGGAACTTGGCTGCTTACTTTTTGAACCAATCTGTAGCTCCTTGGCTCCACCACCTGGGCTGGTGACGTGTTTCACGTGCCCGGTGCCTTTCACTAACACAAAATGTCTCCCGCACTTCCCGTTCCCCTTCTCTTGTACTTATTTTGAAGATTGTGGCCCCTTGTTTGGGAATTTTGTGCACAGAGAAAAACCTAATCTGTGTCCACATTTTACAAACTCTTCAAATACTTGTATCAAGTCTCCCCTCGGTCTACTCTATGTAAGAGGGAAGAGACCCAGGGCAGCCAATCTATTCATACGCCTTGAGTCGTCTCTCAAAGAGTGTCCCTCGCGCTTTGTAGCAATCCAGTCTGCTTCCCACCCGAATATGCTTTTCGAAATAGGAAACCCAACACTGCACCAAGTGTGACTTCTCTACCACTGTACATAGTACAATGTTGGGGTTAGTGCTCCAGCTGTGATCTCAGTAACACTGCACACAGTGCTCCAGGTGTGATCTCAGTAACACTGCACACAGTGCTCCAGGTGTGATCTCAGTAACACTGCACACAGTGCTCCAGGTGTGATCTCAGTAACACTGCACACAGTGCTCCAGGTGTGATCTCAGTAACACTGCACACAGTGCTCCAGATGTGATCTCAGTAACACTGCACACAGTGCTCCAGGTGTGATCTCAGTAACACTGCACACAGTGCTCCAGGTGTGATCTCAGTAACACTGCACACAGTGCTCCAGATGTGATCTCAGTAACACTGCACACAGTGCTCCAGGTGTGATCTCAGTAACACTGCACACAGTGCTCCAGATGTGATCTCAGTAACACTGCACCTGAATTTGTACGTTACACCTTGAGACATAAACCTAGGTTTTTTCAAAAATAGGTAGGAATACGATACCCGATGGTTTTAATCACTCCGAAAGATAACTCAAATTGGCTGCCCTGCATCTGTCTTCTCTCAGTCAGCACACAGGTGCCTTTGCTAAAATAAACAAGGCCATAAAACTCCTCCCGACACATCCAAACCGGCAGCCAAGCGGGATCCCATGATGCATTGTGGCTTCAATCAATACTGCTGCCCACAGTGATGAACGACAGAAACGCAATCGATGGGAACACATGCAAAAGGGCAGTCACTGCGGATCATTCCTTCACATTACACACAAGGACTATCAATTAAATAAGCTTGCAACAGTTCTGAAGCCCGATGCGCTAAAATCTCAAACTTTCTCAAAGTTACAAAACGTTACTAAATTACTTTTCGTCCCGCAAGTTTGCTGGACGTGTAATTAAGGCATTTCACGATATTGGCAAGCTGTGAATTGCCTGACTCTATTCCGCTCTGCAACGCTTTCATTATTGTCGCTATTTGAAGTAGCGAGAAAGTATATCAATGCAATCTCAAAGCTGCACTCCAGTGTTGTTGAAGTGTAATTGCTTCAAGCCACTTTGGTTTTCTACCCTGGGCTTCACTGCTTTCAACAGTTCATGAAGGTCCAAGATAATTGATCAAATAGTCCTGAACCAGCCATGGCTCAAAATCACTGAAGACAAAATAAGAACCACAGGCATGCACGGTGGTCTATAACCACCCACCTGACTGAACCACTCTTACATTCCTCACAACATGAAGATAAGACAACTTTTATTTCAGGTACCAGTAACTTACCTGGTGGTGGATTTTGAGGGCCGATGCCAGGAAAAGCAGAGATGGGTTCTGCAAACAAAATACATGGTTTGTTTAATTTAAGTGCATGAACAAGACAGTAGAACAAAGGACATTGGTTTAGATTTGTAAAAGGCAATTTCAGAGGCTTTTCTTTACTCAGAGGAGTGAATGGAACAGGTTATCTTGGAAGGATGGTAGAGGCCAGCACAATAGACTCATTTAAAAAGCAGCTTGATGCAGTAATGGGAGGATGGTAGAATGGGTGTTCTAGAGGGATTAGACTATATGCGCTGAAGGGCCTTCTTCATCCAGATCAATCTTGTGATGAATTATAGAGTCTTAATATGTTAAAAGAGTCAGATTTCTTAACCTGTTGGATTTTAATGCCTTTTTTTGCATTCCTTTCATGCACTTTACCTGCATCCACAGCTCTTCATGAAGCAAAAATTGGAATGTTTTCATTATAGAAGTCTCCATTAAGTGTGGAGGATTCACTGCACAAATTATGCTACTTACGGATGCATTGGTCCAGAGATAGGTGTGTTACTATGGCAACGTCATCGATCGCAATTTCTCCATTAACACCACTTCCAATGATGCCTTCGATGATAACCTGAGAACAAAAGGCAAATTGGAAAAAGTCTTGAGAGTAAAGAGGGGGACATCTGAGAGATGACGCAATGCAGGACCATAGCACTGGTTGAGCTGCATTGATTTCCGTGTTAAAGTTATTTTTAGGAGGCTTTTCCAAATCAAGTAAAGAAATTGTGAGGTTAGCGAGAAGGTTTTTTCAGTGTTGAGAGATTGACTGTTACCTGATAGTCAATGCTGTATCCCGGAAGGATGATCTTTCCTTCCTTCCACTTATCCCCCTGATTTCCCCTCAGTGACCAGAGCATCACATCGTCTGATTTCTTCTTCAGCAGCACCTGAAGATTCCCAACATTGGGGCCTTCCATGAGATACAAGAAGACCATGCAGCGATGGCTGTTCATTGGTGGTATGATGGGGCTGAGCAGCCTGGCGTGCTCTCCATTGCCCCTGTCATTGCCTTCGATGTGCAAGTAATTCCATTTATCTGGAAAGGGAGAGATAAAAGTCCCGGAAGATAAGACTCCTTCTTATGAACTGAAAAACAGGCAAATTGGACTTCTGTCGAGTAGAAGTAAACGCTGAGGTTTCTAAAACAGAAAAACCTTACTCTTTCCTCTGCAGCGCTGGTAGATTCAGTTGTACCTAAAAAATCTGACCATCAACAAGGAACCATTCCATTTAACATCCCTATTCTCATGATCGTCAGAATAGGTTTGTTTAAGCAAAGTTCAGACAAGCTGAGAAAGGGGAGACCTGGCTCCATGGGACTGAAAGATTAGCTCTAAAGGAGCTGCCTCAGACCTTCTCCTGTGCTGTAAATTTCTGATTTCCACTGCTGTAAGGTCAGTTTCATCTCCACCTCTCCTCCTCCTCCAACAACCAAAAATGAGAACAGAGATCACTAAAACTCCTAAAATAACTGCTCTGAGATTGATACCTCATGGATAGGGTGCTATAAAAATGCAAGCTGTTGTTGTTTTTGTAACACCGGGAGTGCCAGCTCTCCGCTAGCATCATCACTTTCCCCCATCAGGAGAGGCAGGTTCTGGACCCCCTGATCTTCACTCCCTAATGAGCAACTGACCGCACCAGACCCAGAACACATTTGGCTTTGCTTAATGCTGTGCTCCAAGAGGGTCTCACTGGCTCACGACCACCGTTGCAGGTCAGAAAGTTCTCACTTAGCCAAAGGGCAGTGATTAGCTCTGATTTAACTGTGGGCGTCTGTCAGCAATAAGTGGTTGCATGGCCATGGAATTAGACGGCTCACCATCATTCCATTTGCTCTGTGATTACCAGCTTTTGCGGTGAGGTTAGGATGGCGTCTGATTGCAGGGTGGGGCTGGAGGAATGTCTCAGAGCTGTAAATGAGCTGTGCCCAGCAGCGGGGCCACTACACTGTGATCCAGCAATGGCAAAGGTGCCAAAATCCACCCAGTCTTTTTTTTTTAAATGTTGACATTGTGGAAAATGGTGAAAAATTATTACAATTCTTGAAACCGGCTCCGAAACTAAGGCTGAATGTAGAATTCTGCCCCCATCTTAAGTTTTAACTTAAAATTTTGCTTCAACAATAACAACTTGCATTTGTTTTGCACCCCTCACACAGGGCAGCATCCCAGGGAATTTCAGGTCCCAGCCAGGGTTAGCATCAACCACCACACGCACCAAAAATAAATTCTGGGTGGTGATCGTTTTGTGTCTGTGTGTGGGAGGGTGGGGGAGAGGAGGTTGGGTGGAGAGAAATGACCGGTAACAAAGTCTTCTCAACTCTTTGCATTTGTAAGGACAAAAAAACTTCATTGTGCGATTTGCACCATTTTTGTACTGATTTACTGCTAATTTATAGAGTGTGAAACACCCAAAGAGGGACCCTAGGGTGCTGTTCAGTCTAGGTTTGAGGCACTGGGCCACATGTGGAGTATCTGCCTCATTACTCTCCCTTCCTGCAGATTTCATTAAGCACAAGGGGTGTTGCAGTAATCAATGGCAACAAACAATAAGCCTGCAAGAATAAACCTCATGCAACCCCCTCTTCACACGTTTCTTGCTCGCTGGTACAACAAATAATTATCTGTGGGTTTCTTTCTCTCCTCTACTCTCTTCATTCCTTCCTCGCCCCTAATATCACATACTCGTCTGCTGACTGGAAGACACTGACCTGCACTGCTTCTCTGCCACACCCAACAACAAGTTGCATTTATATAGCACCCTTACATGGGTAGCGTCTTGTGCTTAAATAGCCATATGTAGCTGCCTAGTAGCACATGCGTGAGTGGATCCAAAAGAACGTTTGCTTCTACAAGGAAGTACATGGCCTTTGCCCAACCAGAACAATAATAAGCCTTGCATTTGATATAGAGCCTAAAATATCAAACGTCTCAAAGTGCTTCACAGGTGATTGCTGTAAAGAGAAGTGACGTATGTTTTGTAGGCAATCGCGACACCCAGTATCCCACAGACAGCTTAAAGTAAATGACCAATTTTTTTTAAAAATCGGTGGGAGTGGGGGGATGTTTCTGGCCAGGACACCGGGAGAAACTGCCTTCTGTTTTCCAATGGTGCCATGAGATCTGTAACGTCCACCATGCTCTCACTATGTGGCAAACAGCAGGGTCAAGTCTGTGAGGTGAGGAGTTAATAAGGAGTAATGTTGCTTTAAGAGGTGCTGCAATTACAGCTGAACCTATGCATATGGATTAGCGCCAGAACCCGCTGTCTTGTGACAGTCTTGTGAGTAAACATGTTCTGTCATGCGTTTTAAATAGAGTTGTAACAGAACTCGACTGATCAAAGCAGTGTTTGAAGAAACCATGTTGTGTCTCAGCATTAATATTACAATGTCGAAACATGGCTGGCAAAACTCCAACCAGCTTGCACCACCACCACCATCCCACAATTCTCTCTTATAAAACGGAAGCAATTCAAACTTTCTTTTCTTTCAAAGTGCGTAATTTACCTGTGACATGTTCCTGGCCTTGTCCTGTGCTCCCAGGGCTCTCGGAGTGTGATCGCCATTTAGACTCGACTGTTGGGTCATGGGACCACCCACAAAGCTCATTGTCCCCCACGTCCCTGAAACTGCAGTTGAAACCCTCGATGCTGGAGTTGATGTCTGCACAACAAGAAATCAAAAAATCAACTGATTATTAATGCATCTGATAGCACCTTGTCACACTGAAACGTCTCAAAGGCTTCAAAGTGGTCTCTCCCATAGCGACTGTTTTTGTAGGGCAACTTGACAGCCATTTGCACCCGACTGAATCGTCTCACGAACAGCCATGAGATTGAATGAGGTATTATCATGGAGGATTTGGGGTAAGATGTCTGTTTTTCAAAGCACTGTGTGGTCCAGCCAAACAGACAGTCAGGATCTCATTTTAACGTCTCAGCCAAAGGATAAAGTTCACTGGTGTGTCAGCCTAGTCTCCGTGAGTTCAAAGTCATTGAACTCCAGGAGTCCTGTAGCTCAGTGGTTAGAGCACTCGCCTGGCAAGCGAGAGACCTGGGTTTGATTCCCGGTAGGGTGAAACCTTGGGCAAGTTTCCTTACTCCACATGCCCGATAATAATCCCTCAAGAAAGAAAAAAAAAATTGGTCACTGCAATTCATGACTGTTTGTGGGACACTGCTGTGCGCAATTGGCTGCCGCGTTTTGCCCACAAATATACAGTCAATTCACTTTACAGTGTATTCTGTGAAGTGCTTTGAGACGTTTAGAAGATGTGAAAAGCGCTATATCAAATGCAAGGATTACGAAGTCCTGATGTAGGGCTGGAACCCAACAACAACTTGCATTTATATCGCACCCTTCACGCGGGGTGGCGTTACCGGAGCATCTTGTCAGGGGAGTCTGACACAGAGCCAGGGGGAGAGAGGTGGGGAGGTAACTGTAAGCCCGATCAAAAAGGAAGGTCTTTAGGTGGGATTTGAAAGTTGGGAGGGAGGGGGAGAGGGATTGAGTTCTAGAGTTTTGGGGCATAGTCACTGAGGCAAGACCACCGATGGTGGAGCAGAAGGGACGAGAGACAAACAGGAAGCTGGAGCCAGTCAAGCGGAGGCAACGGGTGGCAGAGTTAGGTTAAGCAGATCTGATATGTAGGGAGGTGAGAGGGAATGAAGGGATTTGAAAATTTGTGAGCTGGCAGTGGAGGATGTTATAATAATCCTTGCATTTGATATAGCGCTTTTCACGTCGGGAGGACGTCCCAAAGCGCTTCACAGAACACACTGTAAAGTGAATTGACTGTATATTTGTGGGCGAACGCGGCAGCCAGTTGCGCACAGCAATGTGTTCATTCAACTCTTCATCTTGGACTGGATTTGACTCCAGGCAGCAAAAGACAAAGGAGCACACTCACAAAACCACTGCCTCATGCTGTCCTTTTCATATGCTTTTCTTGTAGTTGCAATTTTTGTCTTGTGGTTAATTAAATGCCGCAGAGAGATCAATCAAGCCCTGCTCCTGGGTTTCATAGGTTACACCAATGCCATATACAACAGGGCGAGAAGAACATGATGGTCAAACTTTAAACAGGGTGTCTGATGATCAGGAGGTAGACTTTCTAAAGGACTGATCTCTCGCTTTTAAAGAGGGAGTCGACAGTGTGACCAGTTCTTTAAAATGGGTGAGCGCTGAAACTTTCAGTTACGATTAATTAACAAAAAAAGGAATATGCCCCCTCAATAAATCCATTCCCATATACCTATAGATTGCCGTCACTTTTATAAAGGCTTTCATCAGCTTTACAATTACTACACGATCCTAATGGCTAAAACTTAAACAGTAATGGAGGAGTTCTTATGCAAAGGCCCACGTTAAGGACCTCATGAAAAAAAAGCACTGTTGGTGCCCTATAAAGAATAAATCAGTAAAAGACATCTCTGGATTTACCACAGCTTATTAGGGAGATAAGCAAATTGTATTTTGAAAGAGCGACAATCATCAGCAGATAAAAGGGAAGAGCAACAGGTGCAGACAGAGAGGTGTGAAATAGAATTTGAGCAAAAATACTCAACGGAATGTGAGGGAGAGAGAGAGAGAGAGAGAGGGAAGTGGGAAAGTGCAGTAGCACCTGCTGTCACCATAGAAACGGAGAGAGAAAGGCGAGCGCGGAGGGAAGAGGTGCTGAACCTGAGTGATCGGCAGCTGGGGGGCCCTCATCACGTCAGTTACGAGATGGGAAAAGGCCGAGAGGTTGCATTAATGCAGAGAAATAAAAGCCTCACAGGAGAAAGGAACTAGCTCGACGTGTGTTCGAACTGGTAACATCTTTATAGCTGCAAATGAGGACAGGTTGAAAGGGTCAAATATTCAGAGGTCGGCAATTTGATTGTCAGATCAGGCGGCATTGCAACTAACAACCTGATGTTAAAGGAGACATGTCGCTATACAGGAGAGCTGCACAAGGGAACTAATTCCCATTTAAATAAAATTCCAGATTTTCTACACTACAAACTCCTATTTGGGACATTATTGCATGGGCACCAACAGCCACCGTTACTGGTGCCGAGTGAGTGCTGGCAAGGTACCAGGTCAGAGGTGGGGAGGATCAGAGCTGGAGCCTGATTCTGCCCACTCTCCTCCAGCAAGGTTCACCACAAAGCCATTAGGAACGAGAGTCCTGAATGTGTTAAGCGCTCAGACCCCACCGCACCTCGATATAAATGCAAGTTGTTGCTTTCGAGTATTTTCCCTACTCCATAACCCAGTGACACCGGGGACAATTGCATTTTAGCCTTGGATCAAATGTGGGATGGGGAGGACAAGTTTGCAAGGCTATAAGGAGCGGGGATGTGGGATTGATTTGGGTAGTTCTTTTTAAAGAGCTGGTAGAGACACGATGGGCCGAATGGCTTCCTTCTGTGCTGTATAATTCTATGATTCTTTATGAGAACCTAGAGTGCTGCCATTTCAACAGCCAATGTTGGCTCATTGAGACTAGGTTTCTCCTGAATGGTTAGTTTATTGGTTTACTGGTTAGTTTAGTCTGATTGGATGATTTATTGGGCCCGATTTTGCCCTGTTTGGCCTGTTTCACTGGGTCGGGATTCCTATTGGATGTGTTGCTTAACCCGAACATCTCACTTAGAAAGGAAAAATAAACTAGCTTTACTTGTGTACTCAAGCTAATAAAAAAAACAGGCTACCATCTCTGGCTGACTGTTGGATTGCACGTATTTGGAACTCACCAGGAATATCAGGGCGGTCTATGCAGGCTGGGTCATTCTCATCAACACAAGGAGCTTCTGTGACATTTTCTCCGTTTGACCTGGTGGGCAATAAAGTTGCTGCAGAAGTGGTGGGCTCTAGAAGGAATAAAATGGACCTGGTTAGGTTATGCAATGATTGCAAAATAAAAAAGTAATGGACGATATATAAATGCAGAGGCGACCGGGCAGGTCGCTGGTCGAGTCATTTTACTCTCTTAGGACCCACAAGACATTCGTACAGTGAAGACATTGCCCCTTTAATTCCTGTCCCCACTCCCCGTCTCCATCTGTATCTGAACCGTTTACTCAACCATTGTATGGCAAGATGGAATGTTTGGTGCTGGAATAGCGCTGAGCACTGACTGAAGCACATACCTGCAGATGCAAATTTCTGCCTCTCACCCGCAAACCCCAGCCTGATCGCACACAGGAGCAGTCTTTGCTAACGTTAGTAGATAACAATCATTTTAGAAATGTGAACAATGTGCTAATGCCCACTGTCTCGGGCCGATCGGTTTACTCATTTTCTTTAATCTTGCTGCTAACGTACATGAGATGAGCCTTTAGACCTCATTTGGATCTTATATTAATTATATTACATGCAGCTCCCTGCAGCAGCAGAGCCCGACAAGAGTGACAAATTGTCTTCATTTTGCCACTGTATGAAACAAGACCCAAATCCGCTCCACAGATGGGCTTCCTTATCTCGGTCACAAGTTATGAAAATGGGACTTCAATAAATGCAAATGTTATTAGAAGAAAATTATGGTGATATTGCGTTTTAAAAAAATCCATGACCAATTTAACGCATAATGAGTTCTGTGAAATCTTTCATTTCAAAGATCCTGCTTGGGTTATGCCTCAACTTAAGATGGCAGAGGGGGAGGGGACACAGTTAGTATTCTGCAGAATGTCTATGTTTCATATTGAGACAGTATTATAAATATTAATGAACCGCTCTCTCTTTTCGAAGTCCAACTTGGCTCTGGGTCAAATCTGTCAAAAGCAAATCATGCCTTGATTACAATAGCTTTTAAAATCCTTCTGAAGCTTTTCATCAAGTCACTGCGGAGATTTGAAAATATCTTTGTGCAATTGATTTCTGGTCACCAACCAATATTACACCTTGTGTTATAAGGGACCCTTACTGTGCGAAAAAAAGGCCTTTAATAATAGTAAAAACTATAAAAACAAGATAGCACTTAGGCAGGGATTTTCACATAGGTTGAGATGCCACAGTACAATAGGGAGCACTGAGCAGGATGAATTAAGGATGCTGACCAAATACATGTTCAAAGTGGTACCTTTTTAAGAGGATTTGCCATGCAGAGAGAGGGAGAGGAAGCAGAGCAAAGAGGTTTGGAAGAGATCTCCAAAGGGCAGTGGCTAGTGGCTGAAGACAATTTGGGGGCTCCTGTGGGGGGAAAGGGAGTGAGTCAAAGAGGAAGAGGGAGTGAGCGATTGTGGAGAAGAATTGAAGAAGGGGATGAACAGTACTGTACATACAAGGGGAAAACAACCAAAGTGGAAGAGTGAATAGGCAAGCATGCCTTGGGGAAGACGGCAGCAATTATAATATTAAAAAATAACAACCATTATGTTTGGTACATCTCCTTTCACGTCAGGAGAACATCCCAATGTACTTTGCAGCCTGTACTGTAAGCTGTGGTGACATTTCATTTAAATTGTTTTGGGGAGAGGGGTGGGGGTGGGGGAGGCGATTATAAGCCAGGACACTTCTGTTTTCAAATACTACCATGGGATCTTTAGCGTCCACCTCAACAGACAGATGGTACCTCAATGTAACATCTCATCCTAAGCACTGGACCTCCACTGGATTGGAGTGTCAATTTAGACTATACGAGTTCCAACCTACCGACTTGGAGACGAAAGTGCCACCAACTGAGCCAGGCTGACACAGAATGGCCAGAGAGCAAGCAGTAATACTGATATAATGTTACCCTGACTCGCACCCCCACCCCCCACCAACATTTCACCTTTTCTCCCTTAATATTTGATTTCTTCCATTCACGATAATGACAAACCTGGAAGTGATAACAAACCACTGCGAGTGGACACAAAATAAAACGCGGGGTTAAAAAGAAAGCTTGGCCGAAAGATAAAGAAATAGTGCTACTCCCAACATCTAAAGGGCTATAATTCAAATCCCGTATTCACTCTAAAATGCTTTGGGCATTGTAATCAAAAGCAGATGTCTGGGACGTTCACACTGGAGGCCAATTGAGTGGGACCATAAGGCATGTGTAGTGCCATATTAACATCCATACCAGCGGGTGGATAAACTATGCTCAGACCTGCTCTATTTGCCGTTCTGTTGAAAGGAAGTTCTCTTTACGTTGGGAGTCTGCTGGGTAGCCAATTGTGGGTTACGTAATGAGAAAATTGACCGGGGGAGGGGGGGGGGGGGGTTTCGGCACGGGGTGTGGGAGGCAGAATGGGGAGCTCTGCCTCTTCAAGGCTGATTAAGAACAGATCCTTTCATTTCACGACTTCCTGTGTTGGGAACTTATAGGCCAAGTATTCGAGATGTGGTTTCACAAAATGCTTCCCCACACCCAAACATCTGGTGAACAGCCCTGAGCTTTGAGTGCATCCCCCCCTCCCTTCCCTCGCACAGACACACACACACACACTCCAAATGCTAATTAGCAATTCATACAGCAATTCAGTGAATTACACGCAGAACTTTCAGAATTCAAGTCACTCTTGTTCATTCAGCCGAATGCACACATATTTCAAAGCTGTCAACGGATCAATTTCACACATATCCTTTCAAAAGGCTTGTATTTTACAAAACAACATCTGGGTTGTGTCTTAAGGACCATTTCATGTTTTACGTATTTTACACAAGAGTCCATGCCGTAAGACAACCAGGTGGTTACAAGTGAAGGAAGCCTGTAAGAGTATGCACGAATGCGCGGGTATGTATGCGTCTGTGGGTATGTGTTGGAAGAGACGAGAGAATATGGTGCGAGTGAGAAAGCTAGTTTGAGAGATTACGTGCGAGTACAGGCTGTATATGTGATAAGACTGGGAGAAAGGGAAGGCAATTGAAAGCAAGTGCATGGTGGAAGACTGATGAATGTAACTGTGCAAGTAAGATATAATAATCCTTGCATTTGATGTAGCAACTCATCACATTGTCAAAGTGCTTGACATCATTTACTGTAGAATATAGTGACTATATTTTGTAGCTAAATGCAACAGCAACATCCCACAAAGTGAAGTGAATGAACAATTTTATCTGGGGAATTGATAACCAGGACACTGGGAGAAATTCTCTTCCCTTTTCAACTAGTGTCGTAAAATCTTTAATGTCGATTTGAAAAGGCAGACTAGGACCTCGGTTTAACATCTCATCTGAAGGACGGCACCTCTGACAATGCAGCACACCCTTGAGTGCCAGCCTAGGCTTTGAGTTCAAAGTCGTGAAGCTTGAACCCTCAACCTATTGACTAAGAGTGTGAGTGCTACCGACTGAGCCAGGCTGACAACTCGGGAGCTAGCGGACATGTGTAATTTTGCTTGAGGCGACATTTGATAGAGATTCACAGGATCCTATTTAATCAAATGGCATTTTCCAAATTGGCCAAGTCCTTGCCTGTTCTTGGAACTTGATTTGTGTAGGTGGTATGGAAATCCATTGCTTAGCAAGCTGTGAGCAGGAAGTAAGTGTAAGTGAAGCTATGTCCGTTCAGTAGCCCAGGCTTCCACCTTTGTCAACACCTTTGCCAATGGATCAGTTGGGAAGCGCAACATACCAATGAAATCGCAGCCCAGCAGCTCCATACGCATTCCTATTCCAGCAGGAGACCATCTCTCTGGGTAAACACGGACGTATCGGGCTGGCACAGGATCAAACCTACGGATCTCTGGAGTGTCATAGTTCATGTTCCCTTCAAACAGCTGGATGGAAAGGGGAAGAGATTAAAAAGAAATTCCCAAATTACCAAAACTGCAACTATAAAACCATTCCAAAGCCACACAGGAAACATTGTACACCCAATTTCTGTGTTGATACTGAAATGTGCAGGGTTTTGGGCATTCTCTGTGTCATATGGTCACAGGGGAAAGAGAGGATTAACAGTTCTTTTAGGTAGCTAAGGGAAATGAGTTTGGAACAAACCTTAACACACTTTTCACTGAATAGTCAGGCTCCCCAATGCACTATAACTGGCACTGAGGCAGGAATCTCCCCAAACAGTCCTTAAAGTTCACATCTCGAGAAAGGAGAGAATTGTCATTGATGTGTTAAATGCAAACCTTCATTTTATACCAGTTTTCAGGTGTGCATTCCCAGCAAGTCGGAATATGATTCTATCCTAGGAAACTCCAGTGAAGCTTCCTGTTCCTGATTACTATCCACTGATCCCTTCTGGAACTGTATGTGCATGGATCTTGGATGAAAACAGAATCTGTCTTGGCTGTGATATCCTTCCCTCCCCTTGGTGGAATCCCCATTTGGCACTCTGTGTGGGGCCAGGTTCACACATGAAGAATAAGTGACTGAGCAAGATCCTGAGCCATGGAACTGCTGTCCAACAATGAGTCACCATCCTCAGGACGGGAAAGAGAGGGAAAGTATTGGGAAATACAAACAAATACAAGATTCCATGCTGTATTATTCATTATTCTTTTGAGAATGCCAATCCTGGTCTCATCCATACGAGAGACAATACAAATGCAGAACAAGATGATTAACACCTACCTTGTGCCTCACTGCTCCAGATTCCTTAATGAACGTCCAGTTCATCCCATTCATGCTGTGAGCCAACTTAAACCTCCGCACAAAGGCCTTGTTTTCTGTTCCTGTGCCACCATCACCCACGGACAGTCCCCGTGCCCCCTGGATAATGATCGCCCGGACACGCTTTGGAATCAGCAAATCCACCTGGAGCCACTCCGTGCCAGGCGGAGGGTTAGGTGTTCTGGGATACCAGCCCGAGCGGCTGGCAACAAGTCGGGCGCTGCCTGGTGTCCAGTGGAAGTCCCTTGTGGAGGAGGCAGTGATCTGGGAATCGGAGATGAGGCCCGAGAGCATTCCAAGTGTGTCAGAGCAAGGTCCTTCTGTTCACAGGGAAGAAATCAGTAATGTGAGAACAGGTCTCCCCTTTAGCCAGGAGTTTATGTTTCTGTGTAGTCAGTAGCGGTACAATCAAACTTCAGACCAGAGAATGCAGCTTCAGCTCCAAAGAATTCTGATTGATCAAACCACTTCCTATTTGGTCCCACTCACTACATAGATTGAACCCAACTTTTCCTACTCGCTCCCGTTGCTTACCATCCACTCCAACTGTATCTAGCAACACAAGACACTTCCCAATAACTCACATTGAACATAATTAGCATGTTCAAGGGGATAAGATTCTGTGCCTCCCCCATGAAAAACTGTTTGAAAACCATTCGCCTTTGCCCAGAGGACAGATTCAACCCAGTTTTGATGCAAAAGCAGTCTTCTAGAAATTTACTCAGTATGTCCCACACACGCATCTCCAGTGAGCTGCCCGTCACCCAGAGGGGCAACCCACCACCCAGGGGAGCATTTGTCGGCATTCTATCTATACTAGTTACCAATCCTGGACCAGGAAATCTCCTGGGGCCAGAGTCCGAGCAGTGTCGAGCTCTCCAGTTGCAGGGCAGCCAGCCCCAGAGACAGAGCCGAAGCAGTAAAGACACCGACCAACGCCTCCGCAAATCAATGACAACTAACGACAGACAGATCAGTTGGATACATCATCTGAGAGAGACTTATGCAACCAGCAGACCTGATGTACAGAGTCTCCAAGTAGCTGCTTTACTTAGACTTGATGAAAGAGAGATCTATTTTCTCAGGTTTGAGACAAAGCAACCTTTCAGCATGGTACTGGGGAGAGTAGAAAGACATAATAATAATAATAATAATAATAATAATAATAATAATAATAATAATCCTTGCAATTTGATATTGCGCTTTTCACGTCGGGAGGACGTCCCAAAGCGCTTCACAGAACACACTGTAAAGTCAATTGACTGTATATTTGTGGGCGAACGCGGCAGCCAATTGCGCACAGCAATGTCCCATAAACAGTCGTAGATTGAAAATGACCAATTTATTATTGTTTTGGGTTTTGGAGGGATTATTATTAGGTGTGTGGAGTAAGGAAACTTGCCCAAGGTTTCGCCCTGCCTGGAATTGAACTCAGGTCTCTCGCTTGCAAAGCGAGTGCTCTAACCACTGAGCTACAGGACTCCACATACCACTAATCTAAAGTGACCTTTCCTTTTAATACCCAACCCAAGTATAAAATGTGAACCAATTATCCTGCATAAAATACTAAATGCATTCAGTCCCCAGCCAAATTGCACTAAGGTACGAATTTCACAAATCTAATCCCATTTGTCATTTCTATTACCACAGTTTGAGTAAATTATGAATGGTGCTATGGGATAGAATAATTTGAAAAGTGCTTCCTTTCTTTTTTGCAACTAATTTGTATCCCCTTTTCTCCTACTCTCTCCTCGAGGCAGTGTAACTCACACCGGCACAGAGATCCACAAGTCAAAGGGCTTTATCAAATGTAAGGATTCATTACTATCATAACAACCTGGGACCTCTCACCTGAAAGACGAAGAATACCACACAGTGTTGTTTACCCCATGAGCAATTTTTTAAACTGGATTCTATAGACGTCAGGATCCAAGTGAAATCCTCGACTGACCATTCAATGCATTTACAACAACAAATTACATTTCTATGATGCCTTTCATGTTGGGAGGACGTGCCAAGGTGCTGGACAGTCAGGGATTTGGACCCAAGCAGGGGGTTGGGATCAGGAGGAGTGGAGGACAGAGAAGGTAGGGATAGGAGGGTGACCGAAGGAGCTGTCGAAGAGGAGACATGCCTTGAAGGAGGGGCAAGGGAAGGAGCAAAGTGAAGGGACTGTGGAAGGGATTGAAGGCCAGGTGGGGGACGTGGACTGCTGAGTGGAGGGAGCGGGCAGGTCGATATGGCATTAGCAGGTCACAGAGGTAGGAAAGAACAAGCCGTGGAGGGCTGCGAAGGCATTTAGTTTACATAGGAGTATGAGGATTTTACCGAAGCAGCAGTGGGCAATGAAGGGATGGGGCATGGTGGGAAGGAATGCGGTACCTGTTATTTGACAGCCGTAAACTTCAAATCTCAATGATATTCCATTGTACCATTCCTGAGGCTTGATCCGAACAAAGCGACCCAGAACGGGGGGAGTCAGTGTGTTGAGGACCACCTCGTTGCCATCCGAGTTGGCTGAAAATATCTGCAAGAGAGGCATTTATGAATTGCTCACGTATACTAAAAAGGGCCATTCAACAACAACGACAACTTGCATGCACATAGCGTCCCTCACGCAGGATAGCGTCTCAGAGTGCTTCAGTCAACCAAGCTCACTCAGTTAACACCACACGCAAAACCTATCCCATCGTGGACTTCACCCCATATCACTGCACTTCCTAGGGCAGGGATCTCCAACCAATTAATAACCACTAGGTTATGCATGCTCAATACAAACAAGAGACAGGAGCGATATTTACCGCCGTTTAAAAATTACTATTTACAAGCGCTCTAGGACGCTACCCTGCATGAGGGGCTCTATATAAATGCAAGTTGTTGTTGTTATTTTTATTTCAACATGCATTAAATACTTTGTGCATCTGGTTTTGTTTTAACAACGCAATTCCATTGCTCCTTGTTGTCCTTTTCATCATGTACGAGAGCGACGCCTAGCAGTGATCGACCGGTTGGAGACCTCTGTCCTAGGGCAAAACCTTGCCTGGAAACTCGCTGGCCCGAACGTCAATCAAGCAAAATCTTCACAACATTCTTCCTTCCAACCACTGTCCACTACTCAAACTTTCTCTCCTTCCCTCAACAGATGAAATTTATCCCAAGTGTAGAGAGCATTGCAGTCCATGGAGCATTCAGTCTCAGTCTGAACTTCCCTCTGTTTCACCCAACACTGTTCTCAGTCAGATATTTACTCAGTTCTTTTATGAAAGTTTAAATATTTTCCTATAGCTTTGGAAGTGTGATCTTATCAATGCTCTCTCAGTGACACTGACTTGGCTCTTTGAGGGTCCGAGGGTAGGGGGTGATGGGCCATGGGATCTAAGAATGAGTGGCGGTTACAAATGATGAGGCACTGGAACAAGCGCTGACAAGATCACATCCCCTGATAATGTGCCTTTGTCTATCAGCCCCCAGAAGACTAGTAATGAAGTGAGCAGGAGCAGTGAAGTGTGCAGTGTGCAGGCTGTGCTGGTCCTAACTCCATTGTTAATTTCACCTTACGTAATGAATAAAAGGAACCTAGTAATCCGATACAGTCAGCAAGAGCCAAGTGATGCTCTGGGCAAAGTTGAGAAATAGAAATCAGCCAGAAGGGACCACAGTGATATCCGGCCTCAATGGTCCAGATGGACTGCAGTGCCTGTTTACAGTGGCCTGCTGAAACCAACTAGTTTATATTGTAATCAGTTTTACAAAACCACACATTATTCCACACACAAGATTACCTTCTATAATAGCACTCAGTCAGAACAGTGTTACAGTGAGGGACAACAAGAGGGTGATACATATGGTCTCTCAATTAGCAAGAGTCATAAACAAGGTGCTTTATAGTGAGGATTTCTGTGAAGACTGCTATATCAGAGAGTACTATAGTAATAGGCATCTTCTATTAAAGTATTGACTTTTATCTGAACTGTATTCTATTGGTCCGTTACATGAGTGTTACAGTAAGGGGTCTGTTATATCAGAGTGTTAACAGTGAGGCTTGGTTCTATGAGTGTTACAATGAGGAGTGTGTCAGATGTTACAGAGAGAGGGGTCTTTTATATGAGTGTTACAGTGAGGGGTGTGTTATATCAAGAGGATTAGTCAGCGTGTGTTACACGTTCTCATTGATGTCAGACGGAATGTTGTAAAGAGCTTCAATCCCACAAACTAAGAAAACTGCAAGCAGATTGGATTCTCATTTTTCTGCAAAAAAAAGTTATTTCTTCTCTTCAGTAACTGCTTATAAAATTCAACCTTACAATTACAGAATGAGACTATTATTATATAATCTTACGATGCCTCAAATACATCTGAATGAGTCAGTCCTCTCCGCCAGGCTCAGCAACTCTTGAAAATCACTTGTCATTATCAGCACGGAGACAGTCAGCAATAAACAAACAATAAGAACAAAAGCATTCTGTAAAAATGTTGCGCAATGCCTAAAAAAAAGGTGAGATGTTGGCAGCTTTTGTCCCTCAGAAGGCAGCCAAATAAATTAATTCCTTCAAAGTGGTTCTAATGGAGACTCTCTCTCCCCCATGGTAAATATTACAGCTTGGGAGGCCATTCGGCCCATTGAGCCAAAACTGGTTCTGGCTCCTGCATTGGAGCAACCACTAAAATCCCAATCTCCTGCCTGTTCTTCATACCTTGCCATTCCCCCTCCCCCAGTAAAAAAAGAAGAGTAGGTCCTTATAATGAGTCAACAACAACGTGCACATAGGCTAAACGGCTCAAAACGAGTGCACTGAACACTCAGTCTTATAAAGGGGACCTGTTCGTCAAATCACGACACTATCTCTCTCTTATAAAGGGATCCCGGTGATGAGATTCAATCTCTGAACAGTGAAACGAGTTTCTCAACTGAACAGCCGAATGCTGACTGATGATTTGCTGCAATGCGTTTCACCAGTGGGAAGCCTGCAGTGTCAACCAGCAAGTTTTATTTTCACTGGAGTGAATTATAACTGTGGATAGTGGGGGTGGGGGAGGGAGGAGTAGGGATGGAGGAGGTGGAAGAAACCGAAAGGACTGAGGAATTATTGTCAGTGCCCCGCGGTATAAAAGGCCGGCTCCACTTTGAAGAAGTGGTTAATTCAGATTGAATTGCCGTGCCCCAAGTGCATGTAAATGGGCTAATTATGTATTTGAAGGTTGCTGGAACTGATGAATTTTAGCTACACTTCTAACCTTTACAGCACAGTACCCCTGGGACCAGAAGAATTCCAAGACATCTGCTCGAACATTACTCTTATTCAGTCTGTAACAGAGCTGTAGTTACATTGCTGTAAAACAGTGCGAGGAGATTTACCGCCTTCACTTTTTGTTCAAGATATTTATTACAATGTCACACAGTGGAATTTTCCTGACCTATTTGCCCGCACACCAGCGTCCACTCCCTGTGCTGTTGCCTGCAGCTGGACTCCGCGTAGCTGCGAAAAACCTACTCCCCACCTGGAATGTTTGACAATTCCCGGCGCTTTACGTGGGAGGGGAACACTAGGTTCTGGGGCTGACTGGTTGGGCTGCAGCATTGCAAGCGATTATGTAACACAATGCTATCAACCTATCACCAACCACCATCATTCCCACCCCACAACCCCACCACAAAGAGAGATTCTTGCCCACCCATACAAAGAAGCTCTTCCCACCCCACATAAAGAAGGGCCCTCGCACCCCCCACCCCGCATAGAGAAGGGCTCTCGCTGCTTCTCCCCCATCCCCCATATAAATACAACAACAACACAACAACTTGCATTTATAGGGCCCCCTTCACGCTGGGTAGAGTCCCGGAGAACTTTAATAGAGGTTTTTGCCCCTTGAGCTTCCCCCCCACTTCCCAATAAAGCGAGGCTGTATCTAACGTGCACACAAAGTGTACCTTGTGAGTGAACAGAGTGAGGGTACACACAAAGTTTACCTTGATGGGACCACATGGTTGAAACTGTGGTGGCTTAATTGTTGGGCCCAGGGGAATAAGGTAACTTGTACAGATTACAAATACACTAATTGCTTTAATGCTCAGGAGTGCGTAGGCGTCATCTACCCGATTTGAGTGAGATGCAAATCTCATTCCTCGCAAGCCTTGGAACCTGCAATGTCTGCCTCAATACAGGCAGAGGTAAGGCAGAGTGCCTTAATCTTTCGGCAGAGTGAAATCAATTTGTCTGTCAACACCAATACAGTTCACAACCTGCCACCTGACCAGCCCAGACGTCTAGATCTCCAGGACCCTCAGTTTCCTGGGGCAGCAGGGCACAGGCACAAGGCAGAAAAGGTACAACGTTTCCCCTGAATGATCTCAGGCATGTCTTCCCAGAACACTGATTGCTGTGAGTATCATTACATGTCACGGCTGCCCGCCTGCCCCCTGGTGTAACATTAGTTGTTTACAGAACAGTGAGGGGCCAGACACTTTGTGATGCTTCTTAATTCATGGGACATGGCAGCTGTCAGGTTCCCCTTCCCCCTCTCCCAATGGAATTACTCAACATCAGGAAAGTCCTGCATGAATCGGGGACGAAGCCTGTCCATCGATTTTGGACAGGTTGTTAATACTCCCTTTAGTTTTCTTTTACTCAAAACAACTGGTGCTCGTTCCCTCCTCCGAGCTCAGTGCAACTCCAATGAATGGACAGCGATTCTTCCAAATGTTGTGCAGGCTGGTGCCCACTTTTTCCAACGCGGAGATGAACAGCGATGTGAATAGCCATCAGTGGAAGTGCAGAACTGCATTAATAGACATTAACAGATCTCAAGCTGAGATCAGAGGCTGCCATCCCCAGAGTGGCGAGTGTGTGGAACAGTCACAGTTAGTGTTGGTGCTGATTTATTCCTTCATACTAGAGGTGGAATAACTATCTTGTTGGGAATATAATCAAGGTTTCTAGAGAGAATAAACCAGGCAGTAAGTGCATTAACATCTTGCCTTCTGCCTCAGGGATCTTGGCTTTAAATATATCCCTAATAGATGGGATGAAGGTCTCCTCTATCTGTTGGCTATAATAATAATAATCCTTGCATTTGGTATAGTACCTTATCAGGTCTTTGAAATGTCTCAGAGCGCTTTACCAAATATACTATAAAGTGAATTGACTATATTTTGTGGGTGAAAAGTGGCAGTCAATTGCGTACTGCAGTGTCCCACAAACAGTCATGGATTGAGTGACCAAATTTTTTTTTGTAAGGGTGTTGTGTAAATGAATTGCCTTGGTTTCATCCCATCTTAAAACTACGTTAATTTAGCATTTTCACACAGCGAGGCCACAAGACAGCTGGTGTGCTTAATGGACGTCACACTGGCCAGATGAGGGGGTTGGGGGGGTGGGGGCTGCACCTTGCCCATTGTAAGTTATTGAGGCAGAGTAAAAGAGGCTTTACTCTCGATCCAATCATTCTGTGTTTGAAATAAGATTCTGTGTCATTCCTTAGTGTTCGGGTTTCTCATCTCGAGGAGCATAAACATCTACCCGAAGCATGGAT